TATCACTTATAATATCACTTATGATAGTGGGTATGATATCACTTATAATATCACTTATAATATCACTTATAATATCACTTATAATATCACTTATAATATCACTTATGATAGTGGGTATGATAGTGGGTAAAAATGTGAAAACCAATATTTGATCATTGCTGTGCGCTGATAAAGGATATTGCTACGTTGTCGTTCATTCGAAGAGTCTTTGCAATTACTTCCAGTGATGGACAGAAACTGTAAAAAAGGAAGAAATACCGTCTATGTCATTTATATATGTTTTTATTTAAATAAATTTGAATGTGCAAAATTTAATTTCAATATAGTATGTTGAAATATATAATAAATCGCACAATGGAATGCACAAACTGAGTGAATGTACTTAATCTATGTATTATATTATAATTACAGCGTATACAGATTTGAATGCACTTTTAATAAATTCAATGTTAGATTTCAATAATGTATGCGTGCATATAGAAAGTACAAAATTGACTTCAGGGCAACCTGAACGCAGTCACAACCGAATTCAAAAATATTACAAATGTCGATTTTCGAAACAGAAGGAAGATTGGTAAGTGGTTTAAATAAATCATGTAAACCCACATGCCATTTTACTAGTCTTGGATGTCGAAGTGAGTGCGATAATTGGAATAACTGAATTTCTACTTACAAGTTATCTACAACAAATGCAAGAGAAAGGAACATATATACCAACCATATAACCTAAAACGAAATAAATACAAAATATATTCACACGTGTGTATTGAATAAATGATATAATTTACTTTATTCTACGATGACTTTTCAAACCCAGAAAAGAAAACATGCGCGTCATAGAATTTTTCGGACTATTTGGACTATTTGTAGTTACAGTTACAGTCACAGCTGTCGGTGGTTTTCGGCAGAATTATCCTTCTTTTGCGATATGTTTACAAAATTGTCAATATAGAATTATTTGAATTTATTGTCATATAGTCTGTTGTCATACAGTCTGCAATTAACATATCGTTGAAAACATCAGCTAGTGACATTTCAGATGGTCTGGGACCCCGGTCAATGTAACTTTGTGTTATACTTCAGTGTCCAACAAATATTATATTTACTTCGATACGTTGATTCATGATCATGGTCTTCGCAGGACGGCTATTCGTCGTATTCAAAATGAGATTCGGTACATTTGACAAGATTGTCCCAAAACATCTTAATATTCTATTATTGTTATTTATTGGTACATGTTTAAGCCAATACAATATATAACAGTGTGAATATCACTGATCTCTGTGACCGCATACACACTTGACTACACTGTGCTATACAACTTTCGCTATCTTCCACTACATGGACCGGTTAGGAAAACTCTAATGCTATAACACGAATATTTCATTTGGCAAATAATTGAATACAGGTTCCGACAACTGTTATTAATAAGCTCAAATAGTTTTAGATTGGTCATATAATTTTCAAATAAGCGTCATTTGCGCCTAGTAACAATGTTGCATACTAACAAGACTTTTTAGTGCGTACCTGAAAGTATTTAATTTGCAACACATGATATCAGCTGGTGATGCACAGGTTACGTATTCATACAGAAGCAATATGTTACAAATATTTTAATTTTTAGATTTGTCGGTTGTTATTGCACATTTATTGGTGTACCAGCGTACAAAGTTTAACTCACCAAGACTATGAGTCAGCGTACAAAGTTTAACTCACCAAGACTATGAGACCAGAGTACAAAGTTTAACTCACCAAGACTATGAGTCAGTGTACAAAGTTTAACTCATCAAGACTATGAGGCCAGCGTACAAAGTTTAACTCACCAAGACTAGGAGTCAGCGTACAAAGTTTAACTCACCAAGACTATGAGACCAGCGTACAAAGTTTAACTCACCAAGACTATGAGACCAGAGTACAAAGTTTAACTCAACAAGACTATGAGACCAGCGTACAAAGTTTAACTCATCAAGACAATGAGTCAGCAAACAAAGTATAACTCACCAAGACTATGAGACCAGCGTACAAAGTTTAACTCACCAAGACTACGAGTCAGCATACAAAGTTTAACTCACCAATACGATGAGACCAGCGTACAAAGTTTAACTCACCT